TTTGGGGGTGGCTGAGCTAGAGTTACTAGACTTAAGGCAGTGGATACTCTACCGTTGATCTTTGTTCTAATCACTTATGTTATAGTTTGTTCTGTTTTGTTATACCAACTTTGCTTTATTCAGTTTTAATTTGTCCCTTTTACCATCTTATTACTTCACCTCACAATAGTTACACCTTTCTGCACTTTCTCTTATTTTATTCACTTTATTTATTTTTTTTACTTATTTTTTTTTTTACACAAACCCTCCTTTTTACATTCACTCTTACTTTATCCTATTTTATCTTACATGCACCTACATTTTCAATATTTTCTTAAACTGCGTATCTATAGTAACTAAGTAGTATACTACGTATAAGAGAACGGAGAGAGTGTATCAGATAAAGGGTGACAAACTGACAATAATCCTAGTCTTCTCTTGCAAGCTGTGCAAACTTGGTTCAGTCAAAGTTTGGCTTGAACTTAGTTGGGGAGTTTAATGAGAGTCGAGGAAATTGAGTTGAGCAAAGTTAAACTCAACTCAAGAAACTATTTTTCTTTTTGTGTGTTTAAACTGTAAATTTAGTAGTAATATAAGATGTTTGCAGTTTATTATATCTTTCCCTATTTAATTTTCATCCCATTACTTTTCTATTCTAAGCTAAACATTTACCCCCCTTATTAGCACTAGTCATATATGCTAGCAGAAATAAAAACTCCTCAATAATTAGAGTTGAAGTTTTTAGATAAAATAAAACAAAATAGTTGAAATTGAAGTGAAATATATACAAAACTATCACAGTTTATTGGTATCATGAAGGAATATTTATATGTGTCCAGATGTATGAGACAAATCTCCGGTTTGTATTCTTACCCTCATTGTTATGATAAGCATCAAGTCACGCTCATTCTTCAAATATTGAAATTTGAGTTTTGTCAAATTTCTAATCATACTGTTTGAGCAATTTGCAATTGTACTCTGGTTTTTCCAACAATGTAATTTGCAAGAATGTCTTTAGGTCCGTGATACGTATAAATCATTGGTTGATTTTTACAAGCAGGTACAAGGATAAACATTTACATGTAATATGTTATTGAATGTATTTGAGTAGATTTTATCTGTGTTACCAAATAAAACTAACATAAACAGGTAGATCATAATGTACATTTTTCTTCAACGTTAGTTGTTTCTACTTTGGCTAGATTTGTTGACTGGTTACTAGACGACCTACGTAGGGTAGTCAAGGTTGTTTCGAGTCTGATCAGGCTTGTTCTCTTATTACTTTTAGAGTACTTTAGAGTAGTTTGAGTGTTTATTGGGGTAGATCAAAGCTCATGTAAGAGTTTTAATAATGTAAAAACTACAGTATATTAAAGAGCATTATTTAGGGCTATTAATAACTGCACTGTAACAAGAACTTAAGGGCGCAGTAACTGTATGGATATATGTTTAAAGTACAGGTAGTTATCCTATCTTGTGATAAATTTAGCTATTGAAGCTATTGTTGACATAGTTGAGAAAGAGATTCCACGGATCGAACAACCGAAACTGATACTAAAAATCTAAGTCACCTATGAGATCAGAGGCAGCATTTTTATGGAAGGCAAGGGACAAAGGCTGGAGCAGTATATGAGTATGGAGTATATTGTTGTGTTGTGATGATTAATGGCACACATGTGAATAGGTGGGTACGTAATTTGTCCATGTGATTTGGAATGGAGACAATTATATTCTGGGAAGAAAGAAGGATAGATGAGGTTATTTCAAGTCTATATACTCAGTTCAACTGTAGGAACTATGTTTTGATATGCACACCATTTATTTCCTGATGCACCTGTTGTAACTGTATAATCCATGATGGAAGATAGTACTAGCGAGTAGCGACCACCTCTGACCTTAGTAACCGGTCACTAAACAGCTCGTTGATTCTCGATAATCATATTAGGGCTTTGTTGATTATTGTTTGCAGTAACTCATTAGATATATGGTTTTGATAGTGATTATGATGAGGTTTCTGGATAATGTATGATTCTATTAGAAAAATAAAAATTTCTAGTGATATCTATTTCATTCTAAAGCACATTTAGAAGGATGGCTGCTATGCCTATGAGAGGAAAGAAATTGGACTCAATACTAGTTGATTGGAGTCTATTTGTGGGGTACAAAGAACATATGCTTGGATTGGTGAGCTTTCAATCATATTACACTGCTTTTCTTTTGCGTCTAAAATTTGTTTGTGGATTAGTATTTATTTAGGAGTAATTTGTTTATTCACTGTATTTCTTCCTTTTGCCTTCTAGCATTATTGATAATAGTAGGTTTTTTTAATTTCTTTTGTGTACTATACGTTCATATGATTGTACTTTTAGATAGCTTGGTTGATAAGAGAAAGTGTGATAGATAACCTATTGATTATTACTTTGTCCAATTCTGAACTTATATGCATTTATGCTGTGGCTCATTTCAAATTACAGTACTTTGAAATCTAGGAAGAAAGTATGAGGATATATTGGAACTTTTATTTAACAAAACATAATGACAAACAATTTACTACGTACACGTCTGATCACTTAATGAAGTCTTTGACCAGTACAGTGTGAAATGAAGTTACATACATCTGAACCTCTTCGAAATCATGATAGGTCATGACTCAGCATTATTATTACTAGTATTATCGATCGATGATGATGATCAGATAAATTATGTTATATAGTCTGCAAAAAAATTAGGTAATTAACAATATTTATTATGCTTAAAACATTAATAAGAGAAGCAGAAAATATGATTAGATCAGAAGTTGTGGGTTTTGTGGCAGTGGTGGGTTAGAAAGGCACGTGTGGAGAGAGGACAAAGAGATGATGTCTAGAGAGAGAAAGAGAGATATAGAGAATGAAAGGGGTAGAAAGGGTTCAAGGGTGGGGGTGGTAGTACACACTACACACAAACACACACACACACTATCACTCACTTAACTCAATCAACCAAAATTAAGACCCCCGTGAGGAATGTTTGGAGGCATTCATAAAAACATCACCAAAACTAAACATCCCATTTTGACGTTTCCTTCGCTGCTTTCTATGGCTCTTCAGTGCCAAACACTCCCCCTCTTATTCTCATCACGAGTCTTTGATTCCTTCTTTATCTTTTCTTTCTATTTTTCTCTCTTCTCCTTGCTTATTTTTATTATTCTACTAGTACTTACTTTCTCTAATTTCTCCTATTTGTCATGTCCTTTATTTGTTACCGTGTTTATTACATTTTTAGTTTTTCAGCAGGCTTATCACGTATGTGATTTGTCCTTATGCCTCATCCGTAGTTCTAGATAAATAAGCGTGATCTTATTTGACCCGATGCCTTACCAGGGTAGGGTAAGGATGAGAGTCGGATATACATGACCTTACTCCCGTGATTATGTAGAGGATTAGAGGTTGTTTTTAGTTGACCTTTAATATGATGGGATTAAACTATTATGTAGATTACTATATGAAAAACAGAAAGCACAAATGTTTTACAGTATCATTTTTAACTAGTTTACTTTAGTCAAAAGCCAAAGGATAGTGACCTTATTGATTTTATGAGATTGGTCCAAGTGGAGAGTGCCATTAATAGAATTATAAGGAGAATGAAACAAAATCTTGACAGTTAGGGCTAATTTATGTGGTGCATATTATCAATATATAATACTTTAGAAGTATTTATTAAAAGTAGGGTGAATAGCTGTAGTAAAAATGTTTGACCACAAATGTTTTTTTTTTTTTTGTATATTTGGAATCAAATATATCTTCATTCTTCATAGTCCATACTTGCATAGATATAATTGCATTACTAATTTTACAAGAAAATGTATCTAATATTTGATCATTCATGAAATTTTGTTTAATTGTATAACAAGTAAAATAGGAATTAATGTTTTAATTTTCCGTGGATTAGCATGATCAGTATATTTGATCTACTATAGCTATGTATATAATTGTGTCATGGATATCGAGAGTATTTAATTTGCATGAGGCAAATTTGCTAAAATAACTTGGTAATAATTCATTTGGTACTTATACAAGTAAATTTTATTCATTTTGGGGTGGAAATTAAGGAGCATATGTATCCCTTAACCTTTAGAATTTCAAGTGGTTTTTGTTGTTACATTAACGTTAAAAAAATGCTGGTATGACGGTGGCCGGTGACAATGACAATATGAAAATGATGTGGTCGAGTTACATTATTTGAATAACCTTTGGATTGGGATTTACGGATTTAGCAAAGATCCTGATTCTTGGGAGATTAATTATGATTAAATTTTATAAAACAAGACGTGTGCTAGTTGGCAATTGCTCTAATCATGGCTTAGGTTAATTTGATGAAATCTTGTTCTGATATTTGCAAATATTACTCTTTTTCCATTTGTTAAAAAAAAAAAAAAAGAGAGAGTGTTTATTTTAGATTAATTGACTTCTTGAGCACTTGTATTGTACATTTCAATTTCTTTCATGTTTTGTCTCTTCCTTTTATACGGAGTTTGCTCTAGGTGCTTGTTTACAATTGTAACATTTTGACTTTTTTACTTATTTCCATACTAATTTTGACCATTGCAATAACAAAACAAAAGTTATTGTATTATATATTATATACTCTGTATTGTTGACGTATTCTTCGTGTACAGTTTAAATTAAAAATGTTACTTGCCAAAGTTATGCATTGATATATGCATAAAAGGATGTTGAAGGGATGAATTTCTCGTGAAAATGAATTAAATGATTAGTTTTGACAGTATAAGCAATTTTTTTTTTGGTGTAGAGAGAGTCATGCATGCAATGATGCTTTATGTATCTGAAATCCTATCTTAGGTCTTGGACCTTTAGCTTTACCCCAAAACTAATACGTATAAACTAGCTAGTTGGCATCTACGAAGAACATTATTATTATCTATTAAGTCATGGATATTATCTCGATATCTTTTTAAATTTATTGTCATGACTTTGTTTTTACATTAGTGAGGGGCATTTTTGTCAAATCACAGTAGCATGAATGCATTTAAAAAAATTTGATGTGATGAAACTGGGGCAGTCATTTGGGAAGCAAACAAGGGATGATCATATTGATATGAGAGCACATCCCTCTCCCTCCCTCCCTCTTCTTTTAAAATAAGCTTCAGAGAACAGCTTGCAGAGTGTGTGATAGGGAGTTCCGAAAGCGTAAGAGAAAAAGAAAGAAAAAAAAAAACCTAGTCTGAGAGAGTCAATGGTTTCCAGGGAGCACAAAAGAGCTGCAGCACTGCATGAGAAGCTGCAACTACTTCGCTCCATCACTAACTCTCATGCAGTAATTCTCTCTGTCTGCTCATATATAATCATCCTTAACTAGCTAGTTTAATTCACTATATATACTACAATATATTACGGAGTACAATATATTACATATATAAGTTTTTTTGAAATGATGTCTTTCTATGTTCATATGTTTTTGCCAGGAAAGTGATACTGCTATCGTTGTTGATGCATCGAAATATATAGAAGACCTAAAACAGAAGGTGGACCGGCTAAATCAAGATATCGTAAATAACGCTCAAAGTTCAACTCTTCAAGATTCACAACCCACGGTATCTATTTTGATTCATGAAAACCATAGCTTTCTGATAATACTTATCGTCTCGTTAAGTTCATCCCCCTTTTTTCTTGGAAGGTTAATTTCCCTAGGCAATATTCACTGTTGCCAATATTTGAGGATCAATCGATGTTGTCCTACCAACTATAGTTGTCCTGTCAATAGTGATCAATCGAGTATAAACTCATCACCTATTTTTCTTTATATAGCACTGCCTTTGTGAAACGCGAATTATATTAGTTTAAAGTCATTTAATTGTATATTGTTCTGCATAATATGTGCAGGTCACAGTTGAAACCCTAGAGAAAGGATTCCTTATAAATGTGTTCTCAGAAAAGAATTGCTCAGGATTGCTGGTTTCTGTGCTTCAAGCTTTTGAAGAACTGAATCTTACTGTAGTTGAAGCTAGGGCTTCCTGTACAGAAAATTTTCAATTGGAAGCAGTCAGTGTGGAAGTAAGACATGCTTTTGATCCCTCTTTACTTTGCTTTACTTTAACATATAGAAGATCATATAACCAATACAGAAACATATTTCGTACTCGTGAACCATGTTCGACATTTCATCCCGAAGTGTGTATAGCCTTTCATACCTCTAAAAAGTATGATGTTTGGATACTTAAAATTATAGAGCGAAAACAAAGGAAACTCCAAGAAGACAGCTAGCTAAATCCTCCGATCATTGGATTCATATTCATACTTGATCTTTGTTTTTTTGGTTGTGAGTACCATAGGCCAAAATGAGCTTTTCGTCCTGAGATATAAAGTTATGACATGTGAATATTCTTTGTTTTATTCACATGTATCATGCACCGATGCTGGGATTTTATCTTACAGATAATTGCAAAAAGATCTATATTTAATTTATTTATAGGTTTTTAAAATTTTCCCTCTTTTTTTTGCAACCGGAATTTATAATCTAAGTATAAAAGATGTCTCAGAATTAATCAATGTTTTTGTAGGGTGACGCGAATGGAGGAAAAATTGTTGATGCTCAGGTGGTAAGGCGGGCGGTATTGAAGGCTATTAGGCATTGGAATACAAGTACTGATGATCAGCAAGATGAGTAAATCATCAGTTAGCTTATTGATCAATTGCAAGCTTATGTTTTTATTTTTTACCCCCCTTTTTCATGCCACCATGCACCGAGTTTGTAGGTTAAATATTTTGTACGGAAGCTATTATGCTCACAATCAAAAATCGAAGATTTCACGTGAGCTTTTCAATCCTGCACAATTTAGCTTTAAATTGAATAATGATCATCTTATTTGGCTCCTTTAAGTGCTATTTATGGTGCAGGGTTATGATTTACCGCCTAAAATTGATAAATCTTACAAGTCGGAGGTCTCGAATAATTGATCCTTACCCCTTGAATAATTAATTATGGTTCTTTTGGCTCTCGAGAGCCGGGGTCAATTTGTCAAGTAATTTGGTTCGGATGAGGACTATACCAATTTTAGTCATATTTAACTTTTAGGTTTGATCAATTTTGGTTCGAGTCATCAAGTTTCAAGTATGGTCGTGATAATTTGTCTACTCCACTCTTAATTGTCAATTAAGATTATCATTGGATAAACCCTCCGTTCTCTCATACCATGTACGATGTGGATTGCAATTTATGGATGGGGGGAAGAGGGGGCAAAAGGAACTGTCAAACTAACCTATTATTGAAAGTCTTTAATAACTCAATCTCAGTGCATTGTGTTTCCATGATTGGAAAGTATACATTCCTGGTCCATGGGGTGTGATTGTGACATGTAACTTGAAAAATATGTACCCTAGGTCCCTAGTACTTCATTGAGTTATGCATTTAAAAGACATTGTGAATTAAAAGAGGTGGAATATAATGATCATAAAACATAATAGCAAAAACTTTGAACTTCCAAAAGAAAGAATTTGTATCCACTAGTAATTAAACGTGTTTTAGTTCTCAAAAGTCTTAGGATTATTTGGTACATTGTTATTTACCCTTTCGTGATCTAACACAAAGACTGGTACAATGTTTACAATAAGATCAGTTATGAAGTACGGAGTACGTTGTAACTTAAAATACTCAAATTTCTCAGTCTTTCTACGTTATCAAAACTTACCTATGCTAAATTTCAATAAGATATGGTTTAAGACTTAAATTTTGCTATTTTACAATTAAAGGTTCTATAGATATAAAAGAAAAGTTATACGATCAATATGACAAAATTTGAATCGTTCTAATAATTCACGATAACAATCAAACTTCTAGTTGAGGTTATTGTTCTTCATTTAGCTCTGTAAAAGTGAGTGTACATAATGTCTTATTTCTTATTCATTGTCTTTATAGAAAAGGACTAATAGTAAGAACAAATTTATGTGTACATGTGAAGGGCATGAATGTAGATGTTCCCTTAATTATATGAATGATTAATTCTTGATGCACAAGCACGATCATTAACTTGGAGCATTAGGATCAAAATGCAGTATTATGTACTAATTCCTCAAAATTTGGCACTTTATTTTATGGTGTTTAAAGAGAGATTCCTATAGCTAAGACGACAAATTATAAAATGCCATATCTTTTCATGGCTAATACATGCAATTATTATTGACTCATCAATCAACTTAATCAAGAAACGAATATAATTTCATATACAAATGAGAATTTAGTACTTGTCAATTGAACCAACTTTGTTTTAATGATTTGTTGCTTATAATGATATTAATAAGACATTATTTGTCCCTTCATAATACTAATACAATGTTCATAGTGTTGCTTCCCTTTGAGTTTAAGCAACTTAGCATCAAAAAATTTTACAAAAATATATAGCAAATTTAAAATATATATATTAATTAATAGTGCTATTGTATCAATATATATTATAGGAAAATAATAATTATCGTATAGAAATGTGTATTGGATTAGAAATAGTACGATGTACATTGATGCAAATCCAAGTATGGAGCTAGCTAGCAAAATTAGTTAATGGACATATAATGTTGAAAATTACTAGTGTGCATTACATATTATTTGGATTATTTGAATTGGACCACATATTCTTTGAAAAATTTAAAGCATCCATCACATATAAGCTGAATTAGAAAATAATTAAAGGTAATTAGCTACTTTATTTTACTCTCCATTTGCGCTGCTATATTGTACTGTGCATTGCATGGATTTAAAAATAATATTAAATATTATTATCACAAGGCGACCAATTTTTTCCTTTAAGAGTAATTTCAACTCAAATCAGGAAAAGATTTACTTCCCCCATTCCTTATTATTCTTTAAAGTTCCATAAATTGATATTAAGAAAATAAATTTCAAACCAAACCTAAAATATCCCACGTATAATATGGTTTTGATAATGTTTATAATATAGTGAATTTTACAAATAAAATTTTAAAAAGATGACCATAAAAGTCAAATGTACTGAATAAAAAAAAAACGGAGAGAGTAGGTTTAAACAAGCATAGGTGGGTTTTACTTGATTATATTATGAGAATGCCTTCACCTTTCGGTAACAACATTATTAAGTATTCGTATAAACAAAACTTCGGTACATGTATAAAATTGTACAATAGTACAGAAGTAGAATGCAGAACTATTAAATGGTACACATACATATCCAATTATGTACCGAATTTCTCAAGGTACAAGTATAGAACCGTTCTTATTTTGTACGTACTCCATTTCTTTTGTATAATTGGACCAAAACTTCTTGTCTATTTAGGATAGTATTTTAACTATCTGCATGAATATCATTAGGAAATAATTCCTACAACAACTCAAATGACTATTTATGATGAAATTTAGTTATATTCTACTCTCTCTGTCCAAAATTAATATTCACGTTCTACATATTATGTAAGCTGGAAGAAGGTAATGTAGTGTGTGAGAATGAAATATTTAGCTATGGTCTTCTTGATCTTTGAACTTATTAATTATATGGTTAAAGTTTTGAGATGATACTAAAAAATTAGATTAAATCCCGTTTATATCAGTACGTACATTTGGTAAAGTTACTACCAATCGATCCTTTATGAATAATTACAATGTAGTGAGAGACTAAAGATTCAGTATGGTAGCAAGGGGGCAAATGGATTAATCTTGTCATAAACAGAAAAGAACAGGAATCAAAGCTCGTGAGGTTTTGATTTACTACAACTATATTAATTAACATTGTTTTTTGATATTGTTTTTACTTCACCAGTTGTATGCCACTTTCAATGTACCACATCGATTTCACTTCGCCGCCTTTCTTGCCTATTTTTAATTATTTCTATATTTGTTTTATGATTAAAAAAAAAAAAAAAAAAATTTGTTGATTGAAGTATAAAATATCAAGATTTTAAGAACCCATATAAGTTTAAGCATTTGTTAGGTGATACGAAGTATTATGAATTTATGAGGGTCGATATCCTATATACTTTAACTTTGAATCATTTATGCATGGCGAATGCCTTACAAACGATATAGGAAGGCAACTTTTGATTGTTGGAAGGATAGGCCAAAATCTCATATTGTACCATAGCATGATGTACAATAAGGTTTATAAAATGATACTCGTATAAGTAGTCCAGGTACGTAAGTAGTATGATATTAGCTCTCTTAATTAAAGCTTAGTAATCACCTTTAGAAAGTCATTTGAAGCATAGAGTTGATGCAAGTACTCCATATAAAATATAGCTACTTATACACGGATCAACTATTTTATATCTCTCACAATTACGAAGTATTACCAATTTGGTTTCAATAAATTTATTAGAAGCTTAATAAATTACAATAATAACACAATGACAGTTTATCTCGAAATGAAAATATACAAGAAGTTCAATATTACTACCACCTTCTCCATATAATATAGGAGAGGAAAAATTGATCAAGAATCTTCTTTGCGTTTCTTTTTAATAATAATAATAATAATTTTACTCCTTTGTAATTTAAATTGCATTTCTCCTATTTTTGATATCCATCAAAGAAGCCCTAGTAATTTGTACACTTAAATGTGGATTCTTCAAAGCAAAGGACTCAAACTTAGAGGAAAAGACTATATCCTCCATGTTTCTCACAATAAAATTCAAGGCAGTATCTTTTAACGTTAAGTTAGAACAAACATCTGAAATCTCTAGAATGTCTAGGGCATTGGATGAACTAAGAGAATTCAGCATTTGTCGATCACAAAATTTCTGTAGGAAGTGTATTTCGTACTTATCAGCTGCTACTGATAGCGAGTACACGTGCTTTTCGACCTTTTCGATGGGCAAGCTCCCGGAGTAGAGGAACTTAAGGAGGGATTCTAGCTCGTCGTGGTTGAGTTCTGGTAGAGTTATGGCTTCATTGGGTGCTTCTTTGCAATCATCTGAGTCTAACATGTTTTTGAAGATCTCTGATTTTGCTGCCTGTAATAATGTACCACAAACCTATGTTATAACACTTTGGTCTTTAAGAATATGTTCGCCCTTATCTTATTTTTTTTAATGTGGGACACACAATACTCACATTTGTACGTAACAATCATTTCACCCTGGTCTAGTTGTTTCAACATTTTCTAAACTAAAATTGGGTAGTTAATTACATCCAAGGCTGCTAATTATTAAGGTTTAAATAACCTAACATACATTGATTAAGTGGATTAAAGATACTACATATGAAAAATAATGAACAATCTACTTACTAGGCAAAACTAAATGAAATGTAATTAATCAATAAAAGAGGTAAATTAAGTGACATACCAATAATGCTCTGTGAGCAGGAATAGGAGGTCCATTGTTTCCAGGCTTTACTAGGATATCTGTATGAATTTCTTCTTTGAAGGCTGTTTCAAACTCACCTAAAAAGCTCATTTTATCATTCAATTCCTCTTCCATATCCTTCATTTCCTTCACCCATTTCAGTACATTGGCAAAACCCTGAAGCCAATTTCAAAAAGCGTAAAATTACTCCGTACTATTTAATGATTGAATTAAATACTCGTATAAAAACAACAATAATAATAATTAGGATTCTAACTAGAAAATGATGTTCAATTATTATCCATTTCATTATGATCAATATGATTCACTAATAACACGTTATCTAATTTCACAAAAATGCTAATATTTTTCTCAAAATACATAAACAGAATAGATTGACCAAGATATGAGCCTAAAATAAATCCAACTCAAAAACATACATCGAAATCGTATCGTCATACTCAAGGCATCCCAAAACTTTGTGTAACCCTACGGTTATTACTTATATTAGATGTTGATAGTTATGGACTATAATTAAGTACAGTAGTTAGAAACTTAGCATCAAGACCAAAAATATTGTATAGTAGAGCGTTACATATTACCTAAAATTGTACTTGTACTTATTAGAGACAAATAAATAGGAAATTCGACCTACCATATATTGCCATCGATGAACATTTACAACATCACCCGCATTATACGCAATTATTGGGTTAAGCACGGGGAATCTTAATTTAGCAAATTCCATCATTTTATGACTAGATCATTAAATGGTCTAAAGATTATATTATTATTATCTATGAAATAATTTTTTGATGGTCAATATAACACTTAATATCTTCCAATGAACTCAACTGCATGGCTGGTGAAATTTCCTCCTTCCTAGAAAAATAAATAATGAAAAGCACCTCTGCATAATTATCGATCTTTTGTTTTTCTAATCAATTAGCTGCATGACTTAGGCCTCGAAGCTATAAGTTAAAAAATAATAAGGATTGCTCAAGTTTAATTTATAACTAAAATGAATTTTCGGCCCAAGGGACCGAAAATTATGTCAACATGAATAGCATTGTAGTAAAGACAATTCGGCATCGCTCAGGCTGTAGTTTAATTCTATTGTATCTCCCTACCTTATAAAAAGTATGAGAATACTCTTATGAACAGTGTGAAGACAACTATATCCCTCAAAATGTTTGTTTACCAATTTGCCCCCAATTTTTTTTTTTAAAAAGGTAAGAAGATATTAATACCTAATTAATTAAATCAGTATATGTGGAATGGTAATAGTTTTTTTTTCTTCCCATATTAATTTGTACTAATAAATACTTCGTAATATTTACATTATTGAATTTTTTAGATGTTACGAAGACTTATAGTTTTGTACTCCTTCCGTCCCCGAAAAAATGACCCTTATGGTCTAAATATAGTCCCAAAATGATCATCCCATTTGCATTAAAATACTCTCCAATTTGCAACAATATTTGTGCAAAGTTAGCTTCTTCATGTAAATTTTGCTTTTCCATGTACTTTTATCACTTTCTCTCTTACTTTTTTGCAAACCCCACGTGAATTTCATTTTTCAATGTATTGTTACTACTATCTTTTTCACTTTCTTAATACCCGTAAAATCAGCCCAAAAGGGTCGTTCTTTCGGAGACGGAGAGAGTAGTAGCTAAGTTAGAGTATATTTCCTACCGTGGAAATGGTAATAGTTTTTTTTTCTTCCAATATTAATTTGTACTAATAAATAATATTTACATTATTGAATTATTTAAATGTTACAGAATACTTGTAGTTTTGTAGTAGCTTAGTTACAGTATTTTTCCTAGCTTTTAAAACTAGAAATTTTTTCAAAATTGTAATATACTTTGAGTAATGTGCTTTTGCAAATAATTACAACAAAATACCATATGCATAGTCATAAAGCATTAGTGACAGGCATATAACTGCAATTACTCTTTTCAAAAGGCTAACCATATCGCGCGTATTAGACCCCTTAATAACTCATAAAATATGTTAAATTTATTTTATTTTGACCATTTAAATAGTAAATAAGTCGAATTTTAAAAAACAGAGGTAGTAGACGCGTTTAGTTTGACCCACAAGTCCGTTACATTAACTTCTATCAAACCCATGAAATAGTTATCTTCATGATCCAAGCCCAATTATTGTCTACAAGGCTGTCATTATGTGTGCTACTTATCATCAATGATAATTGATAAATGGACTAAGACTTTTTAGTACAACTTTTGGGCTCAGTCCAAAATAAAAATGTCAATTGGGTTTGTTGTGCCCCAGATAGATAATCCATTTAGAAACACTAATTGGTCATTTTCATTTTTGTATCATAATTATCCGTTACTCCGTACTTAATTGTCTCATTTTTCTATTGAGCTCCCAAAAATATTGTACTTGTAGGAAATAATATGTAGGGCCGTTGTTGAAACATTTTATGTGTAAATGTGTATATAAGCTTCATTGATATGTTTATAAATTGATTTGAACACACTAGATAAAAATTTTAGCTCCGTCAATGTAATTTTAGTTTATCAAGATTAAATTAAAAACCACATTGCAACAATATTGATGATTTGTGGTGTTATCAATTGCTCTATGCTCAACTTGCTCGAATGTACATAATAAATAGAGTACATGATAAACACATCAAAACTTAGGTGTTGTTTGGTTGATAAGGGAAATGAGTTCCATCCCATGGGGAATTATGTTTCATGGCAAGTAATTTCCATTGTCCATTTCCTAGAAATTGACATTTATTTGTTTGGTTGAAGATGTAGGAACTTAAATTTCCTACGAATTGATTTCCTATTTTTTAGACAGAGAAAGAAAGAGATTAAATTATTAGTGCTAGTAATGCAAGTAGGTCCAACAATAATATTGGGAAATGTAACTTACCAAGGGGGGCTTGGTAAGTGATTTTCCATGTTTTATGGGAATTCAAACTTCCCTTGGAATTTCTATTTCCCCCAATTTGATACTTTTGTGTCAACCAAACAACACATGCCATATCCATTTCATAGGAAATAGAATTTCCCATGTATTTTACCTCCGACCAAACAATACCTTTATTTATTGATTTGTTTGTATATGTACACACGAAAATAAAGTAGGAAAAACTCATAGCTCATAATAGACTAATAGAGCATAAAATAACCAAGCAGAAAATTAAACTCTTGCTTTTTAATTATACTTAATTTAATTACTAAAAGCAAGTAGTTTAGATGGATCTTTTTGCCATCAAAAATTAGACTTCCATGAAATAAAATTTGTATGAATAAATCATCAAAAATTATTGTCATTCTCCATTAATTAAACCGATTTTAGGGTATTTTGCTCAGCAGTGCGCTTCTCATAATAATGGTACACTGCTGCCCCTGATAACACTGCCAATGTTAAGGCTTGTGCATGCATCCTGTCAAATAAAAACAAAACAAAAATACTAAGTTTATGTAATTAGGAATTCATCAGTGCTTTACAATAGATGAATTGAAGAGATTTCATATGTTAGCTGAATAAAATTTTCGATTTATCTACATTAGCTCGACAATGTGTGGTTATGACAATTCTGTTACTCGTTTAACGGTTGTTTATTGGTTGATTTACTTAGCTTGTACTCCGTATATTATAAGCAATTGATCCTCCAACTGCTGAAGCCCATAATGCTCCTGCATGACAATACATAGAGAGCATATAAATCATTGCTAAAATAATTGTCACATTGAAAATGTAATTAGCTAGATACTACTTTTGTATTTTAATACTATCGGTGCTCGGATTTTGGTGCCATATTACTAGCTTGAACTTGAAGTAAATAACAACATGACAATTTAATTTCGGACAAAGAGAGTAGATATGTAAATTAAACCAAACAATGACATTTACATTTACAAAAAGTAAAGATAGATACTCACCAATGCTTGTGCTCAGAAACCCAGGATTGCATGGCATCCATATTTCTATTTGTGTATGTCTTAATTTGCAAATGTTGAAAGATTTAGTAATGAGATGAACAAATAAACGAAAATGTGGGTATTTATAGATTTGATGATGAGTTAGTAAGCAAAAAAATTGTTGGCTAAAGTGTGGCCCCTAGATTTGGATTATCTTTTATGAGTATCATTTTTATTTTAATTGTTTTTAATAGTTATTTTTCGTTTATTCTAGCTAGTTTTGTGGAAAACTAGTGGCTCAAGTTGCCTGGTTTTTTAATTTTAAGACCAAAATAAGGCAAAGGACTAGGAAAAAAGTGAAGAGTTAGGATCACGTGCTGTGGGAAAGGCCGGTGGTTTTATGTTGTAAACTGATAAAAATCTCGGATAAAGATAGTCAGATTTTTGCAGTTAGTGTCTAATTAGTGGTCATGTGCATGAATTTAGAGTTAGGATCATGAATTTTTAAAATAATGTCCATACACACGTCGATTATCAAATTATCAATCCACTACTACAACATTTGGACCACGAGAGTGAGTGATAGCTCAGGTGGTTAGATTTTCCCTTATTTTGAGATTAATTTTCATCAACCACTTATAGCTCTTCCAAAAAAAAAAAAAAAACATTTGGGCCATGCCATTGCCAACACTAAACTCAACTCATGTGGAACCACCTTTTCCCAAATAATAGTGCATTGATAAGCAATTTTGGCGCATTTGGGCTTTTTCACCATCAATCCACAATCATCACCTTTACTCTTTTCTCCCTCTTTCTCATTCCAGAAATTTGTCGAAGACGGAAGATTTTCCCGCCATTTCAAACTTCTTTCACCCAATCCACTCTTTCTCTCTCCTCAAATTTATCAGCAATTTTGCAGCAATAACCATTACCAAATCACAGTTGACAACAGCAAGCTAATACAATTCAACAATGGAAGCTGAGCAAAGAAGATCGAAGAGAAAACCCCTTTCTGATTGCACAAATACCGTTCAAAATCGAAGGAAAATTCCTTCATCTTCTTCCAAAATACCCAAATCGCAAACCCTAATTAAACCCCCTAAACCCTTTAATTCTGCTGCTAATATTGTCAGTAACAAGCAGGGTAATACTTGTTCTTCTATTTGTAGTTCGCCGAAATCGAATACTAGTACTGGGTCTAATAATTCTCAGAATATTTCTTCGATTCCTCGTTCTCCTGAGCCTCCTGCACCTGCTACTCCTCTTTCGGATGCTGGTATGTGATTTTCTTTCTCTAATTTTGGTTAATTTTGATTTTGATTGAAACCCTAGTTTTGAATTTTTTGAACTGTTTTTAAGGTTTTCGAGTTCTTATGTGTGCTGTTCCTTTGATTGAATCGTTTTTAGATGTAGATTTGTTTGTGTTAATGAGATGGAGCTGCTTTTCTGGGTTTTATGATTTTTGCGGATTGAACTGAGTTTCTGGGTTTGATGAGCTGTTTTGCTGATTTGGGTTTATATAATTTGATTTTTTTTGGGGCAATTGGATAGTATATCTTACGAAGTGGAACTGTGAAGTGTTCCTTTATTAGCTTACTCGGACTCTGCTAGAAGTGTCCGACATATCAAGTGAATTTTGTGTGATTTTGATCTGAAATGAAGTCTCTATGTGCCGTACCCATGTCTGAGTGTCGAGTATCTGACACGGATAGTTGAGGTGAAATGAGAAATTAGACTATTAGAGTAACATAAGCGCTGCACTTGATTGAACTCAAACCCTGATGTATAAGGGTTTAGATGAAAGAGACGGGAATACGAGTAACATGGGGATCATATTGTGAATTTGTGATTGAATATGCTACTTTCATCATCCCGAAAATGACAGTCTCAATTAGATGCGTTCATGGACTGAATGCTATAGTTTCGTTTCTATTGTGCTTCTTGAGGTGAAATTGTATCTTGCAATGCTTGATATTGAGGGATGCGCTGGGTTCAGTTTTGATACACGGAATTATATGGAATGCAGTTACTTAAACAAAATTGAAATTGATCTGTTGAACAGTGGCATCTTGTTGCTTTACTTCCATTAAACATGCTGCTTGCATGGAAATTGTTCTATTCTTAGATGTGATCACTTTAGTTTCTGGCTTGTTTGGCAGGCAATAATTAATGGTTTTACTAGTAATGGTCTATATTACATACTCCTATTTAATAGAAAGTCTCATTCCAATATCCCTGATTTTTTTTTCTTTACCCAATTTTTTTTTTTTTTTTTGCATATGTTTTTATTGCCACTTTAAAGATGGTATTGAGTGACGAGACATTTATGTGAAAAAATCCACCATTTATCTTGGGCTCTTGGCCCACCAAACAGGCCAATAATGTTATCATTTGGTTGTTGACTATTTGACTTAGGTAGTTCGGTTATGCCTTATGTTGTGCTACTTCCCACCTTTATTGGTTATTTTGATTGCATGGGGGTACAGCTACATGAGTTTCATATCATCAGTGTAATTTCAATCCATCAAAAGGTGTAGTTATTCAGCTCGCCTTGTATTTGATCTTCTTTCCTGATAGTGCAACATTTACTGAGGCTTTTTAATCTGATTTTGTAAGGTGGCGTAGATGGTAAGAAATCTAGGCTTTCAGCTGATCAGAGTCAAAGACATGATGCACCAAGAAAGGATAAGGGAAAGATGGTTGCAGATGCTCTTGCAGTTGATCAGAGTCAAAGACATGATGCACCAAGAAAGGATAAGGGAAAGATGGTTGCAGATGCTTCTATCATCCAGTTACCCACATCTTTGACATCTAATTCCTTACAGATATCATCATCCGCAGCTCCTGGTCATTGTTCTTGGCCTGAGAATCAATCTGTTCAGAATGAAAACCTACACACACAAACAATAAAAGATAAGGGAAAGGCAATTGTAGATGCTACCGTTATTGAATCAACTTCCCCGTGGACATCGAAGTATTTACATTCATCATCACCATCTTTCACCTCCGATGATTCTCTGTCCAAGACGTCTGCAGTTTATAGTCAGAAATTCCATGTACTAACAAGGAAGGATAAAGGCAAAATGGTCTTAGAGACTCCTACCTCCGAGGCATCTGAACCCTCAACTCCACATGCGCCTCATGAATCACAAGCTGCTTCTGGTAAATTTTATATTAATTCTCAACATTTCCCCCACTCCAAATTTCTTTTAGACGAATAGCAAATTAAAAGTTTTAGTCAGCTATTAGCTATAACCCTCAGCTGAGTAGTAAATTAGTGAAATATACATCTCAGAGTTGTGTCCTACTGTCTAGACACTGCACAGAGTAATACCAGTCAGTATATCATACAACTTAGACTTATAATATAGGCTCCAAAAGATGAAACAGCTTCTCCATTGTCTTATGAGGCAATAATTTTGGATATTAAAAAAATTAGCCCAGCCTTTTATATCTTGTTTATTAAAAAAAGTTAGTAGAAATTAGATAGGAATAGCTCATCAACTAGCAACAACTGCTAGAAAACATATTTAGCATTTATAGTTTGTATTATTTTCTGTTGAAAAAAAAGGGGCTGTGAACTGGACTGTAAAGGCCAAATTGATTCTCATGTGAGAGGACTCAGAGGAGTCTGATGAAAAAACTTCAATCTCTGAGATGGGAGTAACATATCCTGCATCAATTACTGTTGCTTATTTTAATTCTCATGTGTCCATTAGCTATGTGCAGCAGTCTCTTATAAACCTTGTGAAATATTTCGTTTATTGGTACATCTGAAAGACTGACTTAGACATCCTAATTTTCATATTTTTTTAACAGATGGATCAGAGAAAGTCATATTTTGAAACCCTTTTCATTTTTGGTTGCTTATATCAATATATCATGTTTTATTGCTGCACAATGAATTTGCCTCAAGTCTGTCATTGTGTCCTTTTATAAATATCCATTTCTTTTGTCACTATTTTAATTTAGCACTGTTATTTTAGAAGTTAATTAGTATGAGGTATGTTTCTTCGAGGAAAATTTATCTTATTGTTATAGTTAGATTTTGGAAACATCTGCTACTAATAAACATCTTATAGTGACTAAATATTACAAGAGTTCACTGCATAGTTTTTAATCTCCAGTATTACATACATTATAATTAAATTTTTATTTTATTTTTCATCTGATTTCTTTAAATGTACTCCATATTTTTCAATTTTTTTATGTAGATATATACTCGTTATGTTCTCCAGCCTATTTGAACTTGACATCCCGGAAAATTTCTTACTACATACATGCATATAATAAATGTATATATATATATATATATATATATATATATATATATATATATATATATTCCGCTTTGTTGTTTTCTACGTAATATCACTTATACGCAATGTTATTTATTGGAACTGTTTGGATTTATGGCGTTTGCCTTACTGTTGCTAAGGAACTCGCGAGAGACCTCTAACAGTCTATACTCATAGAAGAACCCGACAAGGAAGAAAGCTTGCAGCTGGAAAGATCAATGAGCCTTTAACTTGTCCTCCTGGCCAGAGGATAAAGAAGAAAGGGTAATCAGAACTCTCCCTCTATTCATACCTCTGTATCTTCCCAGCTTCCTTCCCCTCCCAAACCCCATGTTTCCTGCTTTTCAGTCATAAAATATTATCATATGCCTCACAGAGACTTGTCTCTGAGAACGTAAAGCTTGTTAGTAATTTCTATCATGTCAAGTAACTCCGGTACTTCTTAGATGAGAGGCTCCTCTTGTAGTATGTTCTGTTAGTGTCTGGATGAGATGGTAGGGATTCTTTTTTCAACAACTTCTGAACGACATTTGGCAACTATATTGGTGGCACAAACTTGAAATCATGAAAAAGTTTGAAGGCCATAAATCCATAGTGTACAGAGTACAAATTTCAACGATTTATCACTGCTATTACAGCTCCCTATTCCCCTGAACTAATAGTATCTTTAAATGTTTGATTCTAGTTTGGACATCTCATGCCTATTTTTTCCTCATTCATATTTTGCACTGCTGTTATTACTCTGTTTACTACAGTTTGGAACTTGATTATGATCAAGGTGATAGCAATTCTGGATCACATACAGACCCTCTTCCAATGCATAAAAAGGTTAGTACTTGGACAAGCAAAGCAGCGCTCGAAAATTACATTCATCGTCTACTTTTGTATGATGCTATGCTTTCGTTGTTCCCATATTATGATAGTGTTTTCTCCGACTTGAACATGCATTTAAAATTTCTCTTTCTGTTGTGAGCTGTCTTGAAAGCTGATCTCCACCCCACACCTTAAAATGAACCTTTTGTTTGCTTTTGTAAACTGACCTAGACAACATCTTGTTTGCCGAATTTTGGTAACTTCTTGACTCAGAATTTTCCTTTTTTGGTGATGGTGTTTTTTTTTTTTGAAAAATTCGTATTGCAATGAACTGAGGATCTCTTAACCAGTTATTCAGAAGTCAATCTGCTTTCATTAGTTACTGCATTTCTGTGTACTCGTGGTGATATACCTGGGTTGAACAGTCTTTTATGTTCATTGAACACTTTTATTTCTCTATGTATCTGCAGAAGCGGTCTCGTCAGAAGTATGATGATTCTATGCATGTTTTGCCAAAAGAAGAGGTAGAAAGGCTTAGAGCAATGTATGCAGATATAGATGCTTTTGAGTTGCCAGAAGAAGTTGCTTCTGAAAGCGAGCTAGAGTAAAAGGATGTAAGCATCATTTCAGTGTCTTAAAGGAGGCACTCCAGTTCTTGTATAGCCGCTAATATAATACAAACTGCATGAAAAATCATGACTTAGAATGTAGATCAGTGTAATGTCATTAGTGTTAATATCAAAGCATGTCGATGTATACATCAAGTCATCAACCTTAGAAGAAGTTAAATGCAAGGCATACAGGCTGTAAATTGTTACTGATAACATCAGTGGATAGCAAATCTGAGAGTTAAGGTGCTCATTAACTGATGCTCCAGCACTCCCGGCCCTTACTCGAATTTTGTTGATAGTAGAATTATGCTCCGATAGTAGTAGAGTATATGATTGTTCAGGGTAACGGTTGTGGCTGGCTGCAACCGTTACTTTTGCTGCATTATTATAAGTTTAATTTCAAAACAGAGTAATTTTTAACTATTTTTTATTCTTTTCTCCAAGCCTTCAAGTAACCATTGTTTGCGGGCCTAGTCTTAGGCCTGCTTATTCATTCCTCCCATTTTTATTAAGCCAAGTTGACCGCAAATTCATAAAGTGTGTAGCTAAGCTAGCTGCATCAGTGCATTCATATATGAACATATAGTAATTCAAAAATGAACATATGGTTTGTTTTCCCTTCTTTATATCTAAACTCTCTCTTTTCTTCTTTCATGCCTATATTAATTTTCTCTCCTCTGTTTTCTTCTCAATTTGAAATTTTCTCTCTTTTTTATTTATTTATTTATTTATTTATTTATTTCTCTTTTTTTATAAGTTAATTTTCTTTCTTACTTCACTTTCCTTCAATCTTTATACTTCTTTGTCCTTCTAATTCGAATATTCTCCAATTTATCACTATTGTAGCATTCTTTATCATCATCATCTTCTTCGTCACGATCGTGAAACTTGAGGTATTTTGAATTTTTTATTTTTTAATTATAAATATGTGGATGTTGTAAAATTGTTGATTTTTTTATCAATTTTGCATTTCTGATTCCTAATCTATTATGTTATAAATCGATAATTATTGTCTTTATAATGAACCAAGATTAGATTTAAGGTGGATATTCAAATTTTAGAGTTAAAATAATTACAATCGAATTCGTATTCTGTAAATAAGTAAAATATGAAAATACAGTACTTAAAAATTGAACATTTATTACAAAATGAACATTTGTATATAAAAAATGAATATAATTTAACGATATATTTTATCTTTATTTTTGTTAATTATTATATACAATGAATTTGAACCTATATGAATATATGAAAATCATGTTCATTTTTAATATAATAATTGTTCATAATTTTTTTTTAAACGTGTTCATTTGTTTACGTGTTTATTTTTTTGTACTAAATGTTTATTATATAATGTATTCATATATTTTTATGATATGTTCATTTTATTAGGTGGTTAAGCTATTTTATGATTGTATGATTAATGTTCATTTTTACTATAAATGTTTATATTTTTTTTTACATGTTTATTTTTTATTACTAAATATTCATTTTTTTTTACGTGTTTATTTTAAATGATCACCTTATTTTTACGTGTTCAATTTTTTATTTTTTTTTTACTAAATGTTCATTTTTAAGGTCATGGTCCATCAATTTTATGATTATATAATAATCATGTTCACTTTTAATATACTAAATAACCATTTATTTCTAACATGTTCACTTTTTAATACTAAATATTCATTTTTTTACGTGTTTATTTTTTTATTATTGAATATTCTTTTTTTTATTATTAATTTTTTTTATTACTTATTCATAGTTTTTTTTTTACTAAATGTTTATATTATAAGGCATGGTGCAACTACACCAGAGTGCATCTAAGACTTATTGCAGGTTGATCTTTTGTAGTGGGCTTAGCACTAGGCCCACTACAATTAACTTGTTTTGTTTCGACCTTGGGTTTACAAATCACAATCACAACAACAGAGGGATTATACCTTTCACCTAAGGTGTTTTAATGTGTTCAAGGAAATGACAAGCTTTCTCAAAAAAAAAAAAAAAAATTATATTATATATGTATGTATGTATATATCTTAGTAACTTTTAATCGTTTTCAAAATTAATTAAAATCACAAAATTATTGTTAAGAGGGAAGATTTGAGCGTAATGTCATGTGTCTTTTTTGTTTACTTCATACTTTCATATTATGTCTTTCTTAAAATACGTATTAAAAGGAGAGCGGGAAAAATTAAATGGAGGAATTAAAGAAAGTTTTTATCTTTAATACTTGTAAGTTATGCCTTATTATATACTTTCTTTGTTCTTTTTTATTTGACCTATTATGACTTTTACACTATTCACCACCTCTCCTTTAACCTTCTTTTGTGAATAATATGTAAGGAAAAACATATTCATGTGGGGTATTTTTAAACTCGTCTCAATAAGTACTATCATAATATATAACTTTTATAATTTTTACTTAAGAATAATTAAAGTTATTGATCGTTAAAGTTTTGCATTGGCAGACGTGATGAAAAAAAACTGATCAAGTAAAAAAGAACAGATTCCAATATTAGTATACTAAATTTATATCTAATCCTAGTGTGTTAATAGTCTTAATACTAATCCTTCTATGTTGAAAAGTCAATAAAAAAAATTGCTTAATCAAAATTGCACGGAGAAAGTGGCCATAAAAACCAAAAAAATGGTGATCTAAATGAAATTGCTAAAGAAAGAAAGAGCATAAGATGCTATGAACTTAAAATAAAAATAAAGATACTTAAAATAAAAATAAAGATACTTAAAATAAAAAGAGAGGACAGCATGTGAGATGAGGGTATTCTTTAGCTTCCTTCTCACTCAGCTTCTTTATAAAAAATCATGTAATTTATCTACAACTTATTATTTACACACTATTTTTATTGAAACATACAAAAATCGAATCTTTGTTGAGGAAAGTTCTAAAGCCTTTAATTGAAGAGGAAAGCTGTTTTTCTTCCCTTTTCCACCTTTAGAATTATTAACCTTTTATTTCGTATGTTTAATTTAAAATTACTTTTTCCAAAAATACACGAGTAATCAATCTTGTTTATTTATTAGTAGTAATAAAGCTATGAATTAGACACCATGTGGTTTGTGGAACAACCACTAGAGGAGAAAGCCAAGTCAAGCCTTGGTTGATTCTTGTATATGCCTTTTTTTAATTTTGTGATCGGTAAGGAGAAGGATCCTACCGGGTTGGAACCTCTCACAGGTTCACTCGTCACGAGTTAACGGACTAGGCCCTTTAGGAGTGGAAGGAAGGGTAACGGAATCCCCACTTGACTAAACCTTGTTTGGTGATATATATGCCTAAGTTGATTTATCTATGTACGTGCTAAAGTTCTACTCTCTATAGGTATATTGTAACCAACATTTCTAATAAACAAACATTTCTACCTTCTTATAAGTGCCCATAATTAGTGTAATATTAGTGATGAATATAGCTATCCAAAAGTTAAACTCTTTATTCAAAGCTTGAAATGTAAGTATAAAATCAAGGAATTTCATTTTACTCAGTTCTACAATTTTTTCACTTTTTTTTTTTTTTTTTTTAAATTTAATTTTTAATTTTTGCTTTTCATTGTTAACTTTTACTTTTTAGCCTAGCCAACTTACTAACCTACTCTCAAGTCTCAAATGTTCCTTGCATATTGATGGAAGAGTAGTATATTAAGCAACGTATATTTTACATGATTATTCCACTTTGAAGGGCACGGCTCTCTCTAAATTTACGGTTTCACCTAGACATTTGTGTTTAACACTAAAATACTTCTCATCTTTTAGCACAAAACCAAATAATAAGAATCATCGTCGAATTTTGGTGTAAAATTTGTTTATATTATATTTTTTGTGACTCTCTATACTGGAAAAAAATTTATTTATCATCTTTTTATTTATTTATTTTTTAATTTTTTGCTTATAATATTAATTTGTAAGAGGACATAGAAGATGGAGGGACTGCCCCCCAAGTGATTGGGGATTTGATACTCATTCTCCCATTTTTGTGATAGAGTGAGGGGACTCCCCGTATAAAATAAAGTAAAAAAAATTGTAATTAGTCCACGTCACCTTTTAAAAATTCTTATAATAATATGCTAGCTAGCTATGTGATGTAGCCGCTACATAGCCACCGACGATTCTTATTAAATGTGCATGAAAAATAATTCAACGAAGATTGGTATCGAAAAGCTCCTAGTGAATAAGCACATGGTATGACCAAAATTTAACCAATTGATGTTTCATCAAATTTGTCCTACACTAGTTTTAGTAGTTTATAATCTTATGTACTTATAATAGATAAATAGATAATGCATGTCAATTTAGGTAACTAAATTAGCATAAAATGTATTATTGTGCCTTCTTAGCTGGCTTTCACGTCCCTTACTTAGGGTCCATACATTAAGAATATAGCTTTCATTCATTAGTCATCGCAATTTGCTTGGCATTATTTACTTAAAGAAAGTAAGCTCCACTTTCAATTGGCATCTCCTCTCTCATTATTGGGGTACTATGTACTAATGTACCTAATTAATTAAAGGGGCTTTTTTTTTTACTCGATTTACCTATTTAATGTATTTCGTAATTATGTTGTATCTCATATGATTTTAAATATAGTTAAAAACATTAAGGATGATCCTTAATCGAACTATGACCTAATTTAAATCTTAATCATATGCAGATCACTATCAGTACTTCATACCAAAATTATAAGCTCTAAATTAATGAGATCTTGGCTTAGTGTCAAAAATTGAGAGTTATTGCGTAAAATATCACAGATTCGAATCACCTGGCCTCAAACTATGAGCTCTAACTAACTACGAAGTACTTACTTATAAAAAGAAAGAAATAAAAATTATGCTAAGTAATGGAATAATTATACACCTATTGACCTATTTTCAATTGGTCCTTTAATCTAGAACTTTATTGTTTTATACTTCTTAATTAGATCATTAGATACTATAACTTAATCTTTCAAACTTTTCATCAAATAAAAAGGAGAAAAAAAGGGTAATGATGCCCATATGACACGAAATGAAATTTATGAAAAAAGTATCACTTATTGCTTGTGATTTTATTTTTCAAAAGTTACTACTTGTTGGTTGAGATTGCTGACGTGTTTAAAAGGAATTAGCATATTGTTGGTCCACCGACTTTTTTTTATTTTTATTTTTTTTGAGGAGATTGTTTACTTAATAAGGAGGAAAATATTGTACTCGGTATAAAAGGATGCTAAGAGCCTAAGATCCTCTACTTTTGTTGAGGGAAAGATACTCTGCTTGAGAACCAGCAGCATTTAATTTTAATCCAAAGAATTAGTGCTCGTTGAATTTTCTGATTTTATTCGGTACAATGAGAATGGAGAGTTCATGCACAAATGCATAATCTAAGTCAATTTAATATTTTAGATATGTCGGGTATTAAGAGAAGACTTGTCTAAATTTTTACGCATGTCTCTTTTTATATGCAACGTTACACACACTATTACCAAATAGTAAAAAACGATTTGTAAGCTTCTAAATTGAGTTGAACTGTTAAAGTGCACATTAAATATAATTTTCTTTCTACGAAGCTATCTTAATTTTGGATTATTCCAAGAATTCATAATAAAGACAATATTAGTATGTCAGATATGCAAAATCTTATATAGGGTCAATGATAATTACAACAATTCAACTTGGTCAAATGCATAATTATTTGGAACAGATTGAGTGCAAACTTTGGTTGCTATATTGTAAAGTACCAAAAAACAATATCAAAATGAACACTCGATAGTATTATATGGAGTACATAATAATATTGGTAACTTGAATAACTATTTCATAGCATTTTAAGAATGTTACAAAATTTGGGTTGAAAATTTCCTAATGTACATAAACAAAGAGGAGTAATATACACTCCTATATACTTTGAACACTAATGTGTATATAATCACCAAAAAAAAAAAAAAAAAAGGAACTAAAAAATAGCTATGTAATTAATCACATTTCAACACATGATGAGAAACAACTTAATTAATCAATTAGATCACCCAGCTAATTATCGGGCTACTCGACAATTTTGTCTAATCTCACCTTCATTACCAAGAAGAGGGCTAATTTCACTCATCTTAATCATACCTTTGGAAAAATCCCTATAAAATTTGGAAACATCTCTTGAATATTTTCTAACAATTGGATCAGCTTTGTTGCTATTGTATATCTCTTGATCTGAATGAAGCAAACCTTTTTTAGTCAACAAATTCTTGTAATATAAATTATCAAAATGTGAAGGAGTTTTTAGGTCCAATCCTTGCAAAACGTCGTCGTTTCCAACAGGAGGACACTCTCCTCTTAATTTTTGAGCAAATGGTGGACTAATATCTCTATCATTGTAAATTCTTGACCTAAATGTTGTGCACCTCGCAAAGCCTATTGTATGTGCCCCTGTAAATATGACATCATTCATGCGTCATTAAAATAATGTAATTATAGTAAATGGTTGACACAATAAATATAGACATGATGAATAAATAAATTTACAACTTTTTTGTAGCTAAAAAGTCTTAAATCATTATGATTATTGTTATCATAAATATATGGTGTCATTATCATATGCATTACCTTTATATAATTGTGTATGACAACCCCATGATCAATTATTATTTTTTTGTTGAGGAAAACCCATCATCTATTATTTCAATTTATTGTATCCTGAAATTTCAGGAATCCATTCCAAATGTGATTGGCATTTGTGGTTTTTGACAATTTTGAGGTTAAGATTGTGTATGACATCTGATCGATTTTTTGTCTCATTGTTATATACTTGAACACTACGTAGTATAAGTGATGAATTTGGTGATACATTAATCTAGCTAGTAATTGTCTTAATGAAAGTTTTTGGAAAATTGTGAATAAGAAATACGAGTAAAACTTTTCTTGAATAGATTCGAGGATAAAGTTTATACTATTCACAAATCTTTACTTAATTAGTCACATTACCAATTTGACATAAACTTAATCAAGCTAAGGTTGTTATAAATTGGTAATGTAGCAAAAGGAAAATAAATTTCCACCTAAAAGAAGGAAGAATAGGTGGAATAAAAACTTTAATTACAGAATCTGGAATAGGACAAAAGAAATTATTCTTCTTTTTTTTTTTTAATGAGAATAAACAAAGAAGTAAGAATAAATAAAAGTATATTTTATTTTATTTTTCTTTTTTTTTTTAAAAAAAGTATATATATATATATTTTTTTTTTGAGAATAAAGAAATAGGAATATATACCAGAAAGTGACACCAAGTCTTTGAATGATAATCCTACATCTGCAAAATTAGATTTAAGAAGAGTGATATTGGAAGATGGTGCTGGGATAAATACGTTGGCAGCTGTTAAGTTTGCTGTCAGAGAGTCTCTTCTTCCCAATCTTACATCCCAAGTAGGACCTCCTAACTGTAAAATATAAATTAAAAAAAAAATCAATTAATTTCACAATTAGAAAATCTTTAAATAATAAAATTAATAATTAATTTAGTAACATGTCATTAATACAAATAAATAAGAGTATTGTTAAATGACAATGTTTAATTAAAGTTGTCGACAAAAATATTTGATACTATACATTGACAATGTTCTACCAAATTAGTCAAGTTCATTAATTATCTATGTTCACTCTAGGAAATTCACGGGAACAATGCAAATTCCTATGAATTGACCTTTACTAGCAAATTACTTTTATATTCGAGTTAATTTTTTTACATGACAATTTGGTGCTGTATAATCGTTTTGCATTATTATGAACATGTGGGTTATAACTTACATGATAAACGGAATCACGAGCAGCAATAGCGAGGATATCAGCACAAGAGACGATAAGTGGGCAGGCCTTCTCCAATCGAGCTTTGATGACATCTACCACATCAAATGCTCTAAGTGAATTACTGTTAGGGAATGCATTTTTTTCTCCGGTAAATGTTGCATTATCATCCAATAGTACGGATCCATCACATCCCTACAAATCAAGCATCAACCTAATTAAACCAACTCTTGCAATTACAATCCTAAACAAGAGCTAGCGCGAAAAAGAAGTATATTACTCACATTGACAAAGCAATCATGGAAATGAAGGCGAAGCAAGGAGGCACCAGTTCGAGTCTCGTTCTTAATAGCTTCTACCACGGTGTCGCGGACGATATCCAAAACCTTCGGGCAAGTGTAGTAGTAGTAATCAATCGAAAGCTGCTCTTTACTACGAGCTTCAACATTACTAGAAAGGCTAAGAATGATGAGCACTGAAATACATGCTATGAAACACTTGAAAGAAGCCATAGAATAGTACGAGTAGTATGATAGTGCCATTTTGCTTTTGCAAAAGGGCTTTTATATGGTAGATTAACGCATTTATATTTTTATATAGTGTACTACTATTACTAAACCCATCTGGTGGTCCAATTAATGCACCTTAGTATTCGCCGCCACTACAAGATGATATAAAGTAATGGTACTAAACTACTAACATGTAAATATATTTTATATTATATGGTTAGAATAAATAAGAGAACATGAAAATATATAAGTAACGGTTGTCCACAAGTAGCGAAAACCACGTTTAAGACCACAATTTAGGGGACATTTCTTGCCCTCTCACATGGAGTTTTTGCATATTTTCATGTGGTAAAATTATTTTTTATATTCTAAATTAATGAGCCTTATTATTTGTTGATTTTAATTATTACCTAGAAATTTGTAATTATTAGTCCGCAAAACTTTGTTAGATGGGTGTGAATAATGTTGATCCCCATGTTTAAGAATTCTAGACTTCATTTTTCTTCTTATAACCTATATTTATTGCTTGAAATCGATAAATATAGAGTACCGCTTCATAAGGAGTACGTGTGTATGCTATTTTAAAATGTTACTGCATAAATTAGATCCATTTATTTTAATTTTTCAAAGAAAAATATATTGTATGAGACAATTTTTTGTGATATTCACCCTTCAAATGAGGGAGATAATAACAATTATTATGTCAAATTTTGGTTATTATTTGGGATATTTTGGATTTTAACACCTGACAAAAGGCTGAAAATGGTTTTTAACACCCCCCAAAAAAAAACTTTTATTTTAACACCTCCCAAAAATATAAAAGTTGGAAGTTAACACCAGTTAACGATTTCCGTCACGGAAATTTAACGTGGGTCCCACAAATTGGCTTCAACTTCAATTTTCACCCAGCAAAACACGAAACTTCCTCTCTGAACCTTCATTTCATTGATTTTATCCATTACAGATTTTTGGTGCTCATAATTTACAGATTTACAGATTTTTGGTGCTCATAAATCAAACCATACAAAAAATAAATAAAAATTCAACACCGGTTCATCTTCTCCTTCGTTGGAGAACAAAGCGACTGAGAACTTCCATTTTTTTTACCACCAATTCCGCCGCCCATAAAGGGCCCTGTACGGCTACTGACCAAGCCTTCGCAGCCAGCAAACATGTTAACTGGGGACCGGCCACCAAAATTAAATCAACCACCCAAGAAACCAACCTTGCCCCATCCCGTTAGCCACCCAGCTCCCTCCCCCGACCGACGACCGGCGAACCCATCCCACCCCTTTTCCCCACAAACGCAACCCAACCCTCTCCCTTTTCCCCTGCTGCCCCGACCCAAGCCACCACACCGAAACCACAATCAAAGATCTGAATCGCCGCAACCACCACCACTACCACCACTCTTCTGCAACACTTTGCTCCAAACCCTAACGAATTGACCCGCCTTAACCTTTTCGGCCACCCTAACCCCTAAACCACCACACCGTAACTTTTTTCGGCAAACTTAAATTGATTTCTAGACGAGGTTCGATGGATCTGCGATTTGCTCTGATTTCGGGAATTGATGTTGGGAATTGATTTTTTGCGGTTTGAGTGAGGAGGTGGCTGCAGGGGTTGCGATTGTGGGCTGGTATTTGGAGAGGAGCTGATTTGGTTGCGAGAACGGGGAAAGGGAAGGGGGTGGGTTCGGTTGGCAGCGTAGGGGTGGGGGAAAGGGAGGGGGAGGGAAGGGGTGGCAGTTGAGGGGAGGGTGGGCAAGAACGAAGGAAAGAGTTTGGGATGGCAGCCATGAAGATGAAGGGAGGAAGAAGACGAAGAAAAGATGAAGGGAGGAATAAGAAGAAAAAATGGGATGGCAGCCACGAAGGTGGGTTTCGTAAAAAATTGAAAACGAAGGAGAGTTGAAGCCAATTTATGGGACCCACGTTAAATTTCCGTGACGGAAATCGTTAACTGGTGTTAACTTCCAACTTTTATATTTTTGGGAGGTGTTAAAATAAAAGTTTTTTTTTGGGGGGTGTTAAAAACCATTTTCAGCCTTTTGTCAGGTGTTAAAATCCAAAATATCCTATTATTTGTGAAGTATTAAAAAAAATTCAAGAGTTGCATATAATAATTAACGGAGGTAATATTAACAACTAACTAAGCGTTTGTCAAATTTAATTAACTAATAAAGTTTGTAGTGGAAGGTTTTTTTGGTTATGTAAACTAAGCAAGCAAGCAAAGAGAAAAATCACATTAAAAAAAAAAAAGTGAAAAAGACATAACATAGTTTAGGCTAGTCTTTTAGGTTGGCTATGCACATTTCTCTTGCCATTGCAATTTAGGTTGGTAAATAAAGCAAGTTTGCTTGGGTTATTATTCTCATGATATTATCACGAAAAGGGTAATCAATTTCCCTATAGAGTAAAACACTTAAAAGGTGAAATAAATGAGAAAAGGCGCACATTTAATTCTTGCTTACATAATTAAGGTTAAAATGTTGTACGGAGTAATTTTTAAACCACTTGGTAATTAATTATGAGTAAACAAATTTTTTTGCATGGCCCCACTTTAGATAGAAATCGATCACGATTGATTTTGCATGTTCTTTTCATGCATGCGACAAATTTGGAGAGTGTCCTGGAAATAGAGTAGTTGAATCGGTAGAATATAAATCATGTTACTAAGTTTATATTGACGTGTTTGAAGGGATCAATGATAAATTACACCAATTATTGCAATGAAGATAATAAGATATATACAATTACAAAGCACCGTTAATATAATCAACAATCTTATTGCTTATTATGTATTAAAATATAATATATTACGTCGTATTCACATATACAATTAGAGGGCACCACATACAAGTCTATAATCATTAGAAACGGATATCACATATTCTGTATAGCGTCGTAACTAAATGGATGATCAACTACATGAGTTGGTTGATGTTTCGAGTTGTCCTGTCTACATTATTTGCCCTTATGGTTCTCTCCATCAAAAGAAAAGAAAATTATGTTTTGTCTTGGTTCTTAAATTATTTTGAGGATTACAAGTGATGGTGATAGAGCGATGGTGCTATATAATTATGTTTTTTTTGTTGCAATAAGCCACAAGGACAATACAAAACACAAATAGAAGTGGAATATTTGAATTGAACGTGTGACCTATATATTGTACATAATTATTCAGTCTTAATCACGTAGGCTAAAACCTTAAAGGTGTTGTCTAATTGTAACTAACTTGAAGCCTTTTCTTTCTATTTGTTCTCTAAGTGTTCTTGAATTTTATGAAGATCATAACTACTTTTTGCACATTTCATACATGATATGATTTTGCGACGATATGTGGGGCTAAAATTCGTTTATTAATATCACTTTTAGCATACTACTAATTAAGTGACAAGGACTAGGAGAACTTTGATACATGGAAAATCTGTCATATAATTCCAATTTGCGCAGTTTATTGCCCCGCAGTCCAATTTTATAAAATTTACGAAATTTCCAATTATTGTTGTAAGGCCACATCATGTTTTGCCTAGATTCGTTTGTTCTTGGAAATTGGAATGGGCCAACGTTTAATTCATATAAACGTAGTAGAAAAATGTTGTAAGGAGAAGAAATTAGAATATAAGAATAGGAAGTTTGTGCCCCTTAAATAATCTATGGTATAACGAGACCATGAGACATGCCGCAAAGTAGATGTTCTTTTAGACATGCAGCAATTAAAGGTAGCTTTCGGCCAAAATTTCATGACCAAACCCGGTAAATTGGGCCGGATATAGGGTTTAGTGTTGTGCGACAGCGGAAGCAAAGGTCGAAAACAAACAAGAAAACAATAAAGAAATTCAATGCAAACAATAAGAACAACACCAAGAATTTACGTGGTTCACTATCGATGTGATAGCTACGTCCACGGGCACCGAGATCGAATGATTTCACTATAAACTGCAAAGATTACAAAGATGATTCTTGTATTTCTCAAGAACGGCTTTCACTCTGTCTCTCTTCACCCTAATACTGATTTTAGGGAGGTTTTATATTAATCCCTAATTAAAAGATACTTGGGCAAAAAGATAATAAAATAAGATAACCTAAAACCGCAAAATCCGCGTTCCGTATTTTTCCTTCACCGCCCGGTCAGACCGGGCAAGGTCTGCCCGATCGGGCGCGAGAAGAAAACTCCATACGAATGCTTCAACGTATCCAACCCCCACCGCCCGGTCAAACCGGGCAAGGTCTGCCCGATCGGGCGAAGGCTCGCCCGGTCGGGCGAAGGCTCGCCCGGTCGGGCGCGAGAGCAGCTTCTTCAACGAATTTGCCAGGCACCTCTTCTTCTTCCGCCCGGTCAGACCGGGCAATGTCCGCCCGATCGGGCGGACAAAGCTACGAAGTACGAGTCACCTAATATACTTATCAACAATCTCCACCTTGACGAGAACTCGTAGTCAGCAAACGACCCCATCAAGACATAGTGAAAAAACATCTCAAGCCAAACCCGATGCAGGACTCATGCATAAGCCATACATCCCGATAAGTCTTCAACCAAGACCCATCACATACTCGTCTCCAAGTATAACAACTCATAATGCTCCACCTGCATCACAAGCCCCGGGCAAGCTCCACCTTAATGCCAACACACCTACACCAGGAGCTCCCCAACTTCGCCCCTCAGGGCCTACTACATCACGTAGTAATCAATATTTAGCAAGTCTAAGCAATGTTTAAACTTGCTAAACGGAACAGGCTTAGTGAAGAAATCAGCCGGGTTGTCAGCAGTCCCAATCTTCTTCACCTTAATCCTCTTGTCAGTACGCAAGAAATGATACCTGACATCAATGTGCTTCGTCCGATCATGGTGTACTTGATCTTTAGCTAAGCAAATCGCACTTAGACTATCACAATACACTGTAGCAAAATCCTGTGCAATACCCAGTTCACCTACTAGGCCTTTGAGCCAAATAGACTCCTTAGCTGCAGAAGTTAAAGCCATATACTCAGCTTCAGTAGTTGACAACGTAACTGATGACTGCAATGTAGACTTCCAACTAACCACAGAACCACCCAAAGTGAACACATAACCAGTCACAGACCTCCTGGTATCCACATCAGCTGCATAATCAGAATCACTGTACCCAGTGACCAAGCATTCCCTACCATTCCCGTACACAAGACCAATATCA